CTCACTAAAGGACAAGCCACCAGCCATGAAAATCAAAGACCAAATCCCTGATTTCATTCCATTAAGAAAACATAAACAAATGGATATTATTCTTGTGATTTGTGAGTGGATGTTTCTGGGAAGTTTCCCCCCTATGTGTGTGTATTTATTTCGGCCTTAGGCCATTTTGTGAGACTCGCATTGTAATTCCATTTTCCATTTAGTAATACACTTGTTGTGTTTGCTATTTAAATTCCTAAATCTATATCTTAAGAGTGGTTATCTTAAGTGTGAGTTTTAGGTTCTAGATATTTAATTAAGTGTGTTATATCTTAATTAAGTTCTAGACTTAACCCCAAGTTAAGATAAGAGTGTGTAATATCTCTTAAACACCAACTTGGTTTATCCCTTCACTTTACCTCTGCCAATTTCATTTCTCACCATTTCTTCTTCTTGAACCTATTCTTTTCTTTCATCAAAAACCCAAAAAAAACAACTCTTTGTTCCACCCGCATATTTTGTCTCCCTCATTTCCTCTTCACCATCCCATAATTCCATCTTCAAATAGCAACTTGATTATACCCCGGGTCTCGGGTATAACATCATAGAGAATATTACAACACTTCAAAGCAGTCTTCGACACTGGAGATAATATATTACTGTTCCACTTGGGAGAAGCATAAGCGGGCGAATTTACATCATGCGCGAACAAATGCCCATTCAAACCTAGATTTGGTCTGATGTGTCCACGGAATTTGTGGACGGATTGACAAATGTAGGTGGTATATCAGTGTGAAGAGGAGTACATAGCATTGAAAATAATAATCTTACCCTGAAGATTGCAGCAGCCTTGGATAATAGTGGTAGATGCTCTGCATAGCGACTTTTCCCACTCAAAATTCTCCATTGGATATCATTAGTATCTCCATCAGATAAACCTCTCTCTAAATGCTTTTTAGTTATGGTAGCTGATACTGAAGGATTAACCGCCTCAGATCCCTTCATAACACAATTCTGAAGGGCTAAATAAATTGTATTGCATTCACAACAGCAAAACCATTTCTCTGTTGGCAATTCCTATGTCCAAGTTTAGAAATATCAATGAATATTTATGAACCAAATGAAAGATCATAATTGACGCTAGACCAACCTTAAGATCACAAAGCCCAATTTTACGCAAGCAGCCAACATGGTACTCTTTCTCACACTAGAAAATTACAGAAGATTTGAATAAGAATACTTCAGACATGCCAAGTTGAGGTCGAGGAGAGAAGAAAGACCAAAATTTAAAAATACCCATCCTTACTTGGTCGCATAGCATAACTGTTCGGTCATCAAAAGTTTCAGGACTAAAATCTGGTATCCTGAAGAGCATAAAGATAAACAGAATCAAAACATTGTATAGATTCACTCAGACTATGTAGCTCATATGCAGTTCAGTTATGCAAGATTACTCCACGACTGTATGATATTAAATTGCTCACTGCCCGTCTCACAATTGGATAAATGAGGACACTATTAACAACGCACCCCTCACTGCTCAGCCCTGCTTCCGGATAAGGATCTTTCATCTCTTCCCTTTTTTTTATTTCTTCTCTTCTCAATTTTTCTTTTGTTATTTATTTGTCACTTTAACGTTTTCTATCCATTTCTTCATTTATCTAGAGAAAAGTACACATGGGTCCATGGTCAATGGACCCATTTTTGACAATGTTTTAGCTTCGTGTAAGTAATGGACTAAGAGCCTATTCTTTAAGGCTTAAACTCTTAATTTCCAGTTTCTTCCAGTTCTTTCCAGTTCCTTCTAGTTTCTTTCCAGTTCTTTCAGTTCCTTCCAATTATTTTCATTTTCTTCTAACTCTTTCTGCTCCCCAACCAATTACTCTAAAAAATTAGATATATTTATTATTATTATTATTATTATTATTATTATTATTATTATTATTATTATTATTATTATTATTATTATTATTATTATTATTATTATTATTATTACAACTGTAACGTTCATAACTATAGTTTATAAATTATATTTTTCATATCATTATTTTTACGATTCACACTCATTATTTTTTCTTCAACTTTTTAATATGAATAAGACAATTTTTTTTGTATATTAATGTAAATGATAAAACAGGCAAACATCAATATTTTAAACTATATTTAAAAATTATGGATAAAATAGTTACATAGAATGTTTTATTAATCTAGTTTTATATAAGATCTCTCACCTTTCCATTTTATTACTCAAAATTTTCTCATTTTTTTAATTTTTATGAAAAAAATTGAAAGTCAAAGCAGTTTACAGAAAAAAGAGTAAAATAGGAGTAAAACATAAAAAATGTAAAAAAAGTTCTATGTCAATCATGAAAGAAATAGGTTTGATTACATTTTTTGACCCGTCTAATATTAAAAATAAAATCATGTAATATATAAAGTATAATTACAAAGATATTCTTTATAATAAATACTGCATAAATAAGTTGAGATGCAATGTAAACACAAAAACTTTTTAAAATTTAACATTTTGATATTTATGCTAACTTTATACTCCCTCCGTCCCCCATAGATCTTCCCAATAGCCCTTTTTCTTTGTCCACAATAGATCTTCTCATTTCATTTTTTAACAATTAAAATACCACAACTACCCCCACTTACTTTATTTATTACACCTCACCCACCTCATTTAATACACTCCACCCATTTTTCATTAAGGGTATTATGGTAAACTTTCACCTTTTTTCAACTCTCCTTAAAAACCACCAAAAGTCAAAATGAGAACATCTTAGAGGGACGGAGGGAGTATTATAATTATTTTTATTGCAAAAGTAGTTTTTTGTATTTGAAAAATAATAATACTTTTTTTATCTTAAAAGCATTCATTAAGATAACGTAACGTGATGATGATGATGATAATAATAATAATAATAACATAATAATAATAATAATAATAATAATAATAAT